CTTCCTTCCTTCCTTCCTTCCTTCCTTCCTTCCTTCCTTCCTTCCTTCCTTCCTTCCTTCCTTCCTTCCTTCCTTCCTTCCCAGAAAAGTTGATCTCCCAATTTGCTGAAAGTGGATTTTCAAGTTCTGTATAGAATTCTGAAATTTACTATAAAAGAAAATAATGCACAAGCCCCAAATAGACACATATAGATGTAAAAAAAAATTGTCAAAATCTTTCAAGTCAAAAACTTCCTCTAAATGGGAATATAAATTCTCTTCAATCTATTGTGTTTTTTATTTCTTATTTGTTTTCTTAGGGATGGGGATTTTTTAATGACAATATGATGTAGTGGTTAATGACAGAAAACACCGGGCCTGACACTATCTCTCAACCTAAGGATTTTCTTATACGGGAAGGAAGAGAAAATGGCATGAAGATTCAGATTTATTAGATTACAGCATAAAACAATAACAATGCAAATTAGCAAATTATGTGGGCTAGTTTGTATGAAACCCAACTACCAATGTAGTAGCATTTGCTCAGATCTTGCAACTGTTTTAGTAAGCTAAGTAAATAGTAAGCTATTTCTCCCTTTGTTTTCTGCTGGTTATTTATTATTGTAGGCACGTATGCTACTTACGTAAATTAAGTTCAGGGTTTTATCAGCATCATTCACGAGCAGAGGCATTTGCAAATAATCTTTCACTTTTGTGAAAGGAGGCAGTTTCTCCTCATATGACTTAAACTACGTGTGGAAGGAAATTATATTTAGGACATTCTACAGGGCTGATCCATCCTAACCTCACTCCTTCCCAGCTGCTTGCTTTTCCACCTAAAGATAATGGTGTTTTTTTTGGGGGGGGGAGGGGGGTAGAGATAGAAAGGCATATTTCACTGTACTGTTATTAACATATTTGATGGGCAAGAAGTGCAGCAGTGGATTTTAAAGGTCACATTTAAAAGAGCTCCCATTCTTTCTGCCCCAGCATTCATGATGCTTATTTCTAGCTTTTTTTTTTAATTGTCAAATGAAGGCACAATGTTATTGACATGCATGAAACTATCTAATCAAGAATAATGTTGGGATAGGCTAATTGCATAGCTCTTTTTATAACACACGTTTCAATTGCTTCTTCTTTTCATTCTTGCCATTTCTCTTCGTGCAGTTGCCAGCTTCCATGCCCTGAATGAAGTGTCACAACTTAAAAAAAAAACTTTAGAAGGTTAGTCATTGTATAAGCCTAGGGATTTTTTTTGGGGTGGGGGGAATCTGGCCTCCCTATATGGATCACCAGAATTGGTTTGGCTGATTTGGCTGGTTATGGGGATGTCCCCTTTTTTCTCTCATCACTCCATATGTCTGTCTCCAGAAGCTGCATTCTCAATGGAAAAGGATGGCTATAAGGCTGCTGTATCTGAGCTACAGAAATTTGTACAGCTGATGGATGGTGGCAAAGTTATTTTTATGTAACTTTTTCTTGCCATCAAATGGATATATGGAGCCAATGAGATAGCTCCAGTTTACTGAAACAAAATAAATAGAAGCAACATTAAGAGCAATGTACATTGCAGGATCTATATATATTTATATATGTCAGTACCTTTTTGCCCAATTATGTATTGATTAGTTTGTGGTTCCCTTTTATTATAATTTAATTATTTAAGCCAACTATTTTACAGTTACTTTATTTACCATGCTTTAAATTATAGATAAATCAGGACCATTTTCCACTGTTGTTCTATTGGTTGTCACTAGCATGACATTATCCAAATAATTTTTAAACTGATTCTCCTTTTTGATGCAGTCTTAAGTCAGTAATCACCATCCATCAGCTTTCTGGAATAAGAGAATGGCTGATCGAGTGCTTGTGATTGGCAGAGGAGGCAGAGAACATGCATTGGCTTGGAAGCTGGCACAATCTCTACATCTGAAACAGATACTGGTTGCACCAGGAAATGCCGGAACAGCCAATGATGGGAAAATGTCTAATTCAGGTAAAAAGACAATGCATTAATATATTTAAATGCCCCTGGGGAGAAAAATCCATCAACCTCCCCAAACTATTGTACTACATATTGTACAAAAATAAATGTTTAGGGCAATACATTTGATTTATGATTACACAGAAAACAATTTGTGAAGAAAATAGAAAGAGGAAGTAGCTAGATTCAGTCAATTTAATTAGGTTAAGTAAATTAACCCAATTTTCTGGATCTGTACAATACATTGAATCATAAACTTACCAAACAAGCTGAGTTTGCATAACCCAAGAAGCTGCGTAAAAACTAATCAGTGCTAAAACCAACCAAACTTAGCATGTTGTAAAAAAAAAATAGAAACTGTCCACCACATATAAGATTTTTTCAGCCAACCCTTTATATACATTTCTTAAAATTACTATTTTCATTCATTGAATGCTTATTTCTGCTTTTCTTGGGAGCACGGTTCTCATATTTGGTATCTGGATCTTAATGTGTGTTTTTTATTATCTATTTCAGGTGTTTTAATTAGCAACCATACTATCCTTTCCCAGTTCTGCAAAGATCATAACATTGGGTGTGTGATTGCTGGACCAGAAACTTTGCTTGCTGCTGGTAAGGTCTGAACATCCTACAAAGCTGAGGATTTGAATTTAGATTAAAATTAATGCCCCAGTCTTGGGCTATAGAATGATGTACAATCCTGGACAAGGAGTTTAGTGTTGATACGTCATGATTGAATGGCATTCTAAACATTTGATAATGGTTTGCAGTAGTTTGCTATTATGGAGTACAAGGATGCTTTCCGATGACGTTTTTGTTATGCAAATACCTTCATTTGTCAAATTTTATAGGGAATCCACATATCATCTTAATTTTGCAGCCTTCCTGTGTTTTCCCACATTTTTTTCTACAAAAACTAAGGAAAAAATATAGATTAGGCCCACAGTATCTTTTAATAGGTAATCTATAATTTAGCTTAATTGATAATACAAAGTATCTTCCATCTTAATTTGCCTTCCCATTAATTGCTCAGAAGTTAATGGCCACCGTGACAGCCATGGGCCTAGCACACATCATTGGATCAGATTATCTCCCTGTGACTTCTCTCGTGGATCCTTTCACTCCCAATGATTCATGGATGAGATGAAAGAGATGAAATAAGAGATACATAGAGCACAGCTGGAGGAAAAAGGACAAACTCAAGTAAGCAGGATAAAACCTGCTATTAAGGCCTACACTTATAGCATACACTTGCTGCTGTAAGGGTGGCAAAGTGACAGTACTTTCCCACCCTTATTGACTATCTGCAGATAGCCAACTGGTGGTCTTCTTTAAGTTGTCCTGGAGAAAGGGGATTCAGACACAGTTGTAGAGAACAGTTTGCAGGCAAAATTGCTTACATTCATTCCAATTTAAATGCCATCTGGTCTGGGTCCAGTTAAGATAACTGGGCACAGTCTTATTTGATTAGCTAGGAACAGCTTGATCCTGCTGGGCCTGAGGAAGTGGACAGGGTCCTTATAACTGTAGTTCAGCCATTTGCTTCTTAGAGTCATGTAATATGTAATAAAGAGACTGATAAGCAAAATCCTAAATTTCATTCAGTGTTCACTCCATTCTTACAATCATTAACATGCATATTAATGAATATTCATATAGCCACTGATGACTAATAAAGTTGCCTTTAAAAATGGCTTAACAGCATAATCTTTTCAACAACTTCATTGTATTCCAAACTCTTCCCTTTTCATAGCAATGATGTACTTTTTAAATGCTCTTTCTTCTGGGACAGTACAATAATATGACATTCAATTACATAAGCTGTTTTATCTGAGCCTTTCAGTATTTCATTACTAGGAATTGTTGATGACTTGGTAGCAGCTGGAATTCAGTGTTTTGGCCCTACAGCCAAGGCAGCCCAGTTGGGGACAAATAGATATTTCACTAAAATCTTTCTTGATCAGCATGGAATTCCCACAGCAAGATGGAAAGCTTTTTCAAATCCTAAAGAAGCATGTGCTTTTATTAACAGGTAAATACTTATTTTGTTTCACTGAAGTATTTAGACTATTTGTTCTTAAGCAACTATTGTGTTTCTAATCAAATAATTTGATACAAGCATTTTAAGACTCTATATATGAAGAATATTTCTTCTTTTTTATGCCTAATAGTATGAAATAACTTATATACCATTACTGAAACATATTTGCCAAAAACTGTTTTCATTGGTTAGAAAGAGAAGTTTAAGCACAAAGACCACTCTTTCTGATGACACATCAGAAGGAAACATTAGAGCAGGGGTGTCCAACCTTGGCAACTTTAAGACTTGTGGACTTCAACTCCCAGAGTTCCTCAGCCAGCAAAGCTGGCTGAGGAACTCTGGGAGTTG